ATGGCAAAAGTAGCCAGGCGTGGTGGTACACGCCTTTAATCCCAGCACTCAGGAGGCCAGTCTGGTCTACACAGTGAGTTCCAGGACAGCTAGGGCTACAGGGAGACCCTGTCTCAAAAAGACCAAAAAAAAAAAAAAAAGACAAAAGTAGTCTATAAGATAAAGTTCTCAAAACTTGCCACGGAATAACAAATACACCTGCTCAATGGAAACTTTTGGGTAAAAAGTGAAGAGACGGCAGAGGAGAGTTAGATCACTTTTTGTACCAGCTTAACTGAGATAGCTTTATGGATGTGGACTTGAAGGATTTCAGGGCGCTTGTCTCTTGATTCCCAGCAGTGCAGCCAATGGGTTGAGTTTACATCTCAACCAAAATGACTAAGAGAGGGAGCTCGTGATTCCTTTCTTTGATTCCATCCTGGTTTTGTTGCTTTCTCAGGTTGTGCTCTGTCCGGAGATGACATCATCACTTATCCATTGTTTTTTCCTTGTCTAGTTTTTCTACGGAAGCCACATAGCCATCCTCTTTTCCTGTAATCCCTCAGGCCCTTTTCTGCTCTTATCCATTACATCAACAGATTAAATCAGCTCTACTTCCAAAACACTTAGTGAATCCATCAGATCACCCTTCTTTCCATCACACAGCTTTCTTGACTCAATGTTCCAACCACTAATCTAGTCCGTGTCTCACTTCTGGTAGCTGCCACCTGCTGGGCTGCTTTGTGGGGTTTCATTCCCATCCTCTGTGACCTGTCTGCCACTAGCATCCAGGACAATCTGAAGCATCTGCAACAGTCTCCTGTCAGGCTTAGAATAAAATCTGCAAGATGGCTCAGCCTACTCTGTTGACTTCTAGAATCTTTCTACATGCTCTATACTTCAGACTTGCTGAGCTAGTCTAAGACTTACAAGAGCCGTCACTCAGTGTGCCCGCTTCCCAGGTTCCTCTAGACCTCACAGTGTTTCTTTTCTTCATTTGGTTTCAGTTAATGTCACTGACCTCCATAGACCTTCCTTTTCCACATCAAAACTGATTTATTCTATACCATGTTTCGTTTTTATCATATGGCACTGTATTTATTGTTTACATTGCAAATGTTTCCTCCTTTCCCATAGGATGTCTGCAGTCCTTTGTCTTTGGCTAGGAACTAAATAAACATCATTAAATGGGTTAATATTCCAAACACTTCAAAGGTAAAGAATGCTAATATCTCTTGATGGTCTTTTAATACATTGTGAAATTATGAGCGTAGAGGTGTCTTTCCTTGGTGTTTAGAGACTTGTGGAACAACAGCTGATAACCAGGGGAAGAGAAAGATCACTGAGCTGTTACAGGAAGCAACACTGGGGAAAGATGAACGTCGTCAGCCCGTGGTCTGCTCCCTGTCCATGTTCTTTGGAGTCCACGTCACAGCCTTTGACTCTTGCTAGAGCTCAGTAATGATGGGAATACACGTTTCAGAGTTTGCACTTTGTATTCTAGGCTATTTGCTCAGCAACTCAGTTGATTTTTACCGTTCAACTTAAAGGCTTTGAATGCTGTTCGTTTCTGCTAGAAACAAGGTATATAGTCAACGTGAGAAAGCCGAGTTTTGCTGATTTGTTTGCTAAATGTTTTTGCAATTTTAATTGATTTTTATGCAATATTCATACAATAGAGCTTGGCACTTAAATCTGCTTCCCTCTCGGCACATCCCCACACTGCCCCCGCACACAATTTAATGAACTCTCATATATATGATATAAATTATATATATGTATATATATTATATGACCTATAGAGTATGATTTGTGTCCCCCAATGCCCTTCAGTGTGGATATGTTCACCGGGACCACCAAGAGTCCCAACACTGTTAAGACACTGTCTTTCCCCTTCTCAGCAGCCATCAATTGTCAAAAGTTTCTTAGATTGGGTTGGAATTTCTTATCTACATCCCCATGTCTATGCTGAGATTTTAGTTTGAGCTTGCATAGGACTTGTGTATGCTGTCACCATTCCTGTGAGTTCATATGAGTAAATGACCAGCTGTTTGGAAGATGCTGTTTCCTTGTGGTCATCCATACCCTCTGGCTCTTATAATCTTTCCACCTCCTCTTCTGCAGTGATCCCTGAGCCTTGGGAGGCAGAGGTTTGAAATAACTTTCCTATTCAGGGATAAGCACTCTGCAGCCTCTTGTTCTCTGCACACTGGCTAATTGTGAGTCTGTCTGTTAATTACCATCTGCTGCATAAGGAAACGTCTCTGGTGAGAATTAAGAGATGCAGTCATCCTAAGTGTAGAGGTTGCACTGAAGATGTGTCACTTAGGGTTAACCATTTCACAGATACTTAGTCTCTGCCTTTGATGAGTTCTGGAATTCTGTAATCACTTCCTTCTGTTGCAGAAAAAGCTTCTTTGATGTGGGGTGAAAGGTACACTTGTCAATAAATAAATATGAGGATGCATATTTAGAATAAAGTAAGAAATTACTTTGATCTAGGGATGTGCCAAAGTAGATTTCTCTCTAGGATCTGTGACCTCTCCAACCATGAGTATTTGGCTCTGTTTACATTGCACATGAGTTCACTCCCATTGAGTGGGCTTTCAGACCAATTAGATAGCTATTGATTAACCCCAAGATAAAAGTGTCACCACTGCACTTTTTCATCATGTTAGTTTGCTGGGCCAGCCGTTGTCTCCTTGTTCATTTTTAATGCATTTTCTTAAATTTTATATCATTTGGGATGCCAATTTCTATTTTTCCAAACTTTAAGTCACAGATTATTATATAACTTATTTGTTGCTTATAGTATTTACTAGTAAACATTTGTTGAGTGTTTACTTTCCTTAATAGTAAATTATGCACATCGAATACTTTTATATTTAAAACCTATGATTACAGAAAAGGAAAAAAAAATCAGTCTTAATAATAGCCATGCCTTGCATTTAAACAGGCTTATATATTTCCAAGTATTGTGTCTGTCTTTAGTCAGACAACTTTGCAAGGGTCGTATTCTTTGAGAATTTATATACTAATAGTGTTGACCCCTGTCATTCATTTTCTCTTCTCTCCATCCTTTTTGATTTCCTTATATTTTTGTAACTTCGAACAGAATATGTACTTAGGGCCAAATCTTGAAAAAGTATATAAAAGAGGAAGCTCTCTCTCATCTTCCTGAAGGCGTACTGACCCCTTGGAAAAGTCATTCACACATTTGTGAGCACTTTTATGAGCTCCAGTTCTTCAAACCTGCTAATGTTGAGCGTCTATTGTAATCTCTGTTAGTCTACCGAAATTGTATTTGTTATTTGTTTTGTATTTTTCCTTACTAAGGAGGCTGAGACTCTTACTTTCTATACTTGTTCGTCGTTTTCCTTCTCAGATTGACCACTCCTTCTGTTCATTTGTCCCTGAGTTCTTCATGTTTTCTCATCTCTATGATTGAACCCATTCAAAAAGATTTTTTTACTTGTTCTTTTCAGTTATTTAGTTCCCCCATTTGATTCATTTTACTAAGTTCTGCTGCTTATTTCTTGAGAGCTTTTGATTTTTAAAAATGTATTGAAAATGGATTTGTGATTGTTGAAGCATTAACATATTTTTATTTGAGAATTTCATATATGCATACTATATATTTTAATCATATTCAATCCTCCTCTACCCTTCTCTAAGTTTTCTCTTCATCTCCCAACAGTCCTTCAAATATGGATCAGTTTTCATCAAATTATACCATAGGATAAACTT